GCAGGCGCCCACGAATATAGAAAAGGCGAGAGGGGGGGGGGGGGGGGGATGTCAAACGGAGGACGGGTACGTACGGATCGGTCCGGTCTTGAACTTGACGGCCGCGCTGCTCTCGCTTTCGCCTTTGCCGTTGACGGCGGACATCTTGACCTCGTAGATGGTGTCCGGCGTCAAGCCCACGATGGTGATCCTGGTCAAGTCTGGCGAGGGGAGAAAAATGCGTCTTTACACAAAGCCATAAAAAGCCTGTTTAATTCGATGGCGTTTCTTTACCCGGAGGAACAAGTTCCAAAGATGAGATGATCACATCGGCGTTATTTACATCGGAAGATTGAGAATCAATCAGCTCGCAAGTTACAGTCAAGAGAGTGTTTGTTTATGCCGTGTTCAATAAAGTCTGCCTTGAGGCAAGGATGATTTTGACTTTCGGGAAATTTGAGTGAATCACAAAACAAACCACTAAGTATCAATCTCAGGCTATGCGATGCGAGAGCTGTAGACAAAATGAGACCGTTAGGCGGGAAATCAATCTCAGGGTTGATGGACGCCGTTGATGCAAATATGTTAAAACGGCGCATTTTGTTTTTTTATTTTATAGTGCCTCTCGTGTGCAATCCAGGCCTTTTCGATTGGACTCCATTTGAACGTGTAGGTGTACCTGTGGCAGTACTTCTTTTAAACACGTGATGGCAGTCCTGCTTTGTCTCACCGAGACAGCTGAGGACCGACAGTAAACTCCACTGGAAGCTCACAAAAGTGAAGACGGTTTGAGTCGCCCGGTAACAAATATGGAGGCGCACAACATTGCGGAGCCACGTCCAACAAGACTTTAGGTGCTGTTGTTTTGGTGAGCAACAGAGTTGAAATAGGCGAGTATGATGTGCTTCTGTTGGTGCTGCTATTTGGGTTAGCGACAGGTGGTTCGGTGGTTAAGTGTATGTCATTGCGTCAAGACGCCACGCCAATTCATCCACGTGACTTGACGTGCTTTGCTCGGTATTGCTGTTTTGGCTGGCAACAGGTTTTAAAATGCGCTTGACACTTTAATGTCTGTGTCGTGACATAAGTGGAATTTCTTTCCTTTTAGGAAAAGGGAGGCGGTGTCTCTTTTGGTACAGGCGAGGCATTTATCATTTCAAATGAATGACAAACCGCTATTGGATGAAATACGACAATCGGGGAGATGACGAGAATGAAAGAAAATGCAGGTCTTGGGTTTTCGTAACGCTTGATTTTTATGTCTGTTTCGGTCAGCCTTTTATTCACCCACAGTGAATTTTATGATGTCATTACTGTTAAGCACCAACCGGGGCTTTATCGATTTAATTAAAGGGGACTCTGTTAGGCGTTTTTTTGGCCATATTGTGGGCCATTTCTGTTGTTCCTGCATTTACCAAAGAATGTTGAGCGTGTGCGCACAGCGAAATGCAAAGCGCATCCCTTGGAGAGGAGCTTGTGGTGGTGGTGTTGTTTTTTTTTTTGCTTAGCGCATTGGTTTACATGACAGGTGGCTCTCGGGCCGTGAGATGACAGCAGCCAGCAAGCAAAGCCGCTGACAGATACGCCCCATGCGGCAAACGGGACAGGAAGCATCCAGATATGCCAGCGCCACCGCGTCGCGGCGGGACGGGGCTATTATCTGGGGCCCGAGCCGACTGTCATCTCAGACTCGCTCTCGGCCAGACGTCGGGCTGCGCGCAACACTGTCATGTTTGGATTAGCTCGCGGCGATGGCTCAAGTGTTATCTGCTCCTCCTTCTGTCACGTCAAAGAACCATCATTTTTGTTTATCCGCAAAAAGTTGACGGAGGGGAAGTGTTGGGAGTATTGGCAGCACAGCTTCCATCGGGTTCTGACTGACCGTAGTTGAGAAAATGCACGTCTTGCTCAAAGTATGGCTCTCTCTCGTGGCACGTACAAGAATCCCTCAATAAATGCTAAAATGAGGCAAAGTAATTGAATCAGAATAACCTGCACTTGACTGGACGCACGTTTGCAGCCGGCGCATCAACAGAAAAGCAAGTGAGCGTTGATCCGCGTTGCCCAGCAACCACGCCACACTTCATTGGAATTGACCGTCATTTGAGTCATCAAAACTTTTTTTGTTCTTTTTTTTTTCCGCCCCCTTCCCGTAATTGTTTCACCTTCTGTGGCGTCGTACTCCTTTCCAGTCCAGCCGTGGCCGTCCAAGCGCCATTCTACCAGATATTTGATGATGGGTACACCTCCGAAAGAGTCGGGCTCGTCAAACTCCACCACAGCTGAGCTGGAGAAAGGCTCAACCTGTTGGATCTCTGGCGATGATGGCACTTCTGCAATGCAAAAAAACAAACAAAAAAAAAAACAAACAACAAAAAAACACGCCAAACAAATCATACAGTAAATTTCAGCATATACATGATGAATTAAAAGGTCCCAAACAGGCTAAAAACAAGTGTATTTAATTATTTGTTGCAGTGTCCCAGTCGTTTGGAGTGTAAAATTGAAAAGATCGACCGAAATTAGTGCAGGTTTTGGGAACAAGAGGTTAAAACAGCCGGAATGGAGCATGTGGGTGGTGGTATGCATGGTGAGCAGGGAGCCATTTATACACATTAGTTACATGGGGAAAAATATCTGAAGAAAGAAAAAAAAAAAAACTTCCAGATTTTACAGCCGGTGTAAAAGGGGCTTTTAATTTGACCTCCACAGTTGTAAAATTGCAGGGTCAACTTCGCCCTCCCACGTCCCAATTCCATCTGAAAGGGGCTATTGCCTCCGCTAATGAGATGCGACCGGCTGGTTTGTGATGCAAAATGCTCCTCTTCCACCTTGACCGCGACGTTTCGCCTCACGCTGGATCTCAAAATTGTTTCTTTAAAAGGCATCTTTTATCTATTTGCTTCTTTTGGGCATCCCGGAGCAGCTCATGAAGAATATAAATGGATACGTGGTAGGCGGGTAGTCCGTTCCGCTTCGGCAACTAATGATTTTACCACGGAAAATCCGACTTCGCCGTTTGAGGCCGCGATCTGCAATGGCCTCCCCGCAGGAACATTTTCAAGGTGGAGCTTTGCCACGGTCTATCCATCACAGCCAGCATCCCGGTGTGATTTCCAATTGTAGTATCATAGCAATGTATCGCGTTTCCATTTATCCTCGCCGTTTATTAACCTGTCCTTTGCGGTGTTGCATTTTATCGGGGAAAATCTAATCAGCGTCGTACCGGGGTGCCATCCATCTTTCCGCATTCAATACTGCTCATGTGATGTCAATAACATCAGAAAACCGATGCATCAACGGAACAGAAGACCTGTACTATCAACTTCATGGTCCAGCAACAGAGAAATCCCGGTCCTGGCATTGCGAAATACCACCTCGGGGTATAACTGGGTGGGACTTTGTATTTCCGGTCCTGTGTCACTTCTGACTGTCCAGAACATCAACACGGTGAACACAGGATACACCCCAACATTGATTCCAGTTGTAAAACATCACACAGCAGTCCTGGCTTCACAAAATGCTTCTCAGACGGCGTTGGACCTCAGTTAAGACCTGCTACTCCCCTCCAGAAACAACAAAAAAAAAAAAAAAACGAGTGGGTCAAAGCGCCGAACCTTAATGGTTCCTTTTGAACTTTGAAAAGATTTGTAGGCCGTGGTACAGGCATTAAAATTCAAACCCTGATCCCAGCATTGCAAAAAAAAAAAAAAACACCTAAACAACTTGCTGGCTTCACAAACGATTACAACACAGGCTGTGTCTTGCTGTGTTGTCGTTCTGATAAGACCACCAAAGGCAGGAACATCTCTGGGTCAACTTCATAGCCCTGTTCCGTATCTGTGTCATGTCAGGGTAATAGCTAGTTGGACTAAGGGCAAAAGGTTTCCACCCCAGTTTTCGTTGAACTTGCAGGTATATTTTCAGACTACGAAAGCAAAACCTCAAGAGTTGGAGAAAAGCAAGCAAATGTCAAAGTCAGAACCTCTCGAAACCAAAACCTCGCCTGTCGAGCGATGAAAAAAAAAAAACCCCGCAAACCTGCTTGGATGAGGAGAAACTCCTTGGACTCGGTACCCATCGCATTGGTTGCCGTGCAGTTGTAGCTCCCAAAGTCGCTCTGAGATTCCGGAGAAACCTGAACAGACCCATTCAAAAAAAATCAAAATCTAAAATCAAAAAAAAAAAATCTGACTTTGGAAATGTCACCGAACAACAGAGATGTTGCCCCAAAGTGTTCACCTCGAGGTAGCTGTTGCTCTGCTTGCTGTAGATCTTCACATTGGTGGTGTTGACAGAGGGTACCTGGAGGCCGTCTCGGAACCAGGTGACAGAAGCCCCGGGGTGGGCCTCCACCTCGCAGCTGATATTGGCCGGGTTTCCCTCCCACGTGTACACCGCCACCACTCCGAGAATTTTTGGCGCGTCTGCAAGCGTTACAACCGCGGCTACGTGGTTAGCGGCTTACCTGGAGAATTTGATTCTTGATAAGCTTCAGTTCTCCGGGAAATGCAAATGAGCGCTCTGGTATAAAGAAACTATTACGCTCCAATTATTCTTTTCGTGAAAAATCCACAGGGTGAGTAGAGTTCGGCGAGGTAAACGTGAGCATGCTGAGTCTTTTATTGCACATTTTTCCCTTTCCCTCAAGGCGCCCAGCAGTGTTTGTGATGGTTACCCGACTGAAAAGCCATTCCTGAAATGTTCGCCAAATGAATGTTTATTAATGCCGTTAAAGCTGAGAAGTGCCTCTTTTCTTTTTTTTTTTTCCATTTAAAACGAAGCGCGTTAGTTCGACAAGTTTATCCCATCAGGGAACGGGCGTCCGCTCACCTGCGTGGCAAAGGGTTTGACATGCAAGTCGCATGGTGAGCTGAAGTTTAAATAAAGGCCAACGGGCTTGAGCTTTCTCCTGACTGGAAAAAGAAACGCTTGGTTGATCTCAGTGAGACGTTTGCGAGCCTTATTGATTTGTCTGCCAACTGGTGCAAACAACAATAGTTGAGGTGCGGGGTGAGGGGGGGGGGGAGACAAATAAAAAAAAAAAATACCCTGAAAAGTTGCTTGGATGCTGTCAAACTCGATTTAGCGCTAGCTTATCATGGAAGATTCAGAACTGATGAGGACTCACGGTTAAAGAATGTCAGCGTCTATACTCAGTCCAGCGTGATATTTGAGGCATTCCACCCTTGACTCCCGTTCGTAGCCCGTCTCATTGACGTTGACCAAAGATCATTCCTGACAGTCTGCTGTTGCCCGATATTGATATTCATCTCATTTCTTTTTAGCGAGGCGAGTTCTTGCTTTACTACTGAACAACAACCAAGGAAAGTTTTCGGAGGCAGTTATGTAAGGGGGGCCGAGACACTTAAAAGATCTTGTCTAGGGTGAGGATCAAGAGTGTTTTTGTGCTACACGGCCATTGAAGAATCCCTCAACACTTGGGAAATCGGTTGAGGGTTGTGACTGCAGAAAAGGGAAGCAGGTATTGATTTCATTTTTAGCCTCGGCTATATTTCGCACTCGTGTTATCCGAAATCAATTGGATTCTCGCTCCTCTGCGGGATAATAATCCATGAATGTTTCACGAGGGTGGGCTGAGGAGTGTGACCGGTGAAGTGACGGAAACGGAATGGAAAGCCGATCGAAACTTTGAGCTGATATACATTGGCGTTTGGTCTTTTGTCACATGTGAAATCGGAGGAGCCTAAGCGGAAACAACCACGAGAAAGCTCGGCAAAGGCTTGCGACTGGTCGATGCCTCCCAGCTGAAATGAGTCCAGAATTGGAAGGTCAGGGGGGACTTACAGCGAACCTCCAGGTACACAGGCTGGTTGTCCTGACCGATGGAGTTGCTGGCGGTGCACAGGTACTGTCCGGCGTACGTGAAGTCGACATTTTTCAAGAGGAGGGACGACACCCGGGCGTGGCTGCGGACGACGATGTTTCTGTCGTGGCTCTGCGAACGAGAAGAGACCAAGGAAACCAATTGTGAAAGGCAACACCGTGCACCCATTCTGTTGACATTGGAAACCGGGGCGGAATAACCATTTCCATGGAAAGAAAGAAATGCCAGAAGTTAAAGGTGGCATCTGTTAGAAAGAATCCTGCTGAAAATTCAGTGCAGTGAACACAAATTAATCATTTTTTAAAATCTATTTTTCTGTGAAATTGTTAGTTGGTGAGCTTCTTTCTGGTTGATGGATGGATGGATGGATTAAAGTCTTCAATTTTATTCAAATGGATTCATCTGTCACCCTTTTATTTGCAACTTGAATACTTTAAAAATGAGATAGATCAGATAGAAATGGTTTGAAACGGTGTTGGTATCGTAGTTTGTGGTATGTTTATAGTTGAAACTATTTATATGGGCAGTTATTATTTAAGTATTACTTCTTGGACATCAATGGATCTGACACACACACAAACAAACAAAAAAAAAAAAAAAAAAAAAAAGGAAACATGACAAACGATCATTTAGTGCGGGCAAACATTCAGCCTGACAAGGGAAATCATTCATACGCTTCCCATGACTCAATCAACATTAGCATTCATTTTGGTCCAAATCCGCCCTTGCATAATTAAAACAATTCATTTGCGTTGATGGAAAAAAAAAATCCGACTTCATCCCGTTTGCTGCCCTCCGTTATCCTGTTTTTACTTGTCATGGTGTGCCCCCGTTTTCGTGCCGCTGAGCTCTCCATTGTTGCTGACACACATACAGTATCCTGAATATTATTCCACCTCCACCATTTTGAGTCCTTAGCAGCTAGCTAAGCCATTAGCTACTTACCACGAACAGCTAATTGAATTTGAGCATTTTTTTTTTCCCACCTTCTGCTCAAATTCAGCAAAGGCCCAGTTAGAAAAGACAATCCCGACTGATTATGCTGTGGTTTTTAATGTCCACACTTCTGATTAGGGCGTATATGAATGCTGCCGACGATAATGACAGCGGCAGGCAGGGTGCTACGATCAGCCCCTGGTTGACTTTGAGTGTCGGCTTGCTCCCTTTCAACACATGCCCCACTCGCTTGACGAGGCTGTCGGGGACTTTACGACAACGCTCGCTGGCAGCCTTTGATTGATGATCCGGTAGAAGCGTTCGGTCGCGGAGCAGCGCTATCAGCCGCCCTAGCTAAAGATCAGGCAAGATCAATGCCAAAACCGTCGATGAGAGCGAGTGAATCAATCGGTGATTTTTCTGTGGTGGTACAGCTAACGATCCGACGGGGTTACAGTTCTTCTAATTACAATGACCGTTTTCGGAAAGTCCTGAGCACCGACGGATTGAAAACGTCAGGATTTAAAACCGGATTCCGAGCGTGCCCTCTCTACCCTGTCGAGATAAGAACACAGCGAGAACAGTGCAGACTGTAAAGGTCAAGACACTTTCAGTATCTCCACTAATCTACTGGCAAAGGGCAAGCTTTGATGTCTAAATCTACTTGGCTAGCCAGTGGTCTAAAAATGCCAAACTGGGACCAAAAATAAATACTACAGACGAACTACAACAGTCCAATAAACGTAACCTTGATTCGGAAAATGTGCACAAAAACATCCCCACGAAGTGTGGTTCAGAGTTTGATAGATGACTCCGAAGTTAAGTCGCGCCTTATGTTAGATGCTAGCACATCTCCATGTTAGCATAAGTGAATGTTGTTCCTCATCTTTCATGAAATATTGTTTAGATTTGATAGATGTTTGGAATCAACTCAAATCTGAGGAAACCCACAATTTCTATTGAAAAAAAAAAGTATCCAGACGAAGTCATCATTTCCATATAAATCACCAAGATATAAATCCCTCAGATTTTATTGCAGCCATAAAACTTTTAAATCACTCGGCTGCAAAAAGGCAGTTCTCAGTGGCCCAAATGTTTACTCGCCCTTGGGCTAAAAGCTGACACAAAAGAAAAATATATGCCCTTGTATTTCCATGCATCCATTGCCTTCAATAAATAAAACATTTTGCAACAAAAATGAAGAAAAGTTTTTGACAAACTTGGCAAAGACAGATGAGGAATTAACAGCATTGTAATTCGAAGAAAGCAAAATTGGATGCCAACAGAAATTCCAGGACCACGTCACTTTGTAGCGCAGGGGTGAACCGAGCCGGGGAAGAACCAATTGCATTTTAGCGCAGAACCCGATAAAGTCGTTGCGGTCCGATGACAATCCGTCCACGTGGAAGTCCGAGAACCAAGAAGCTGTCCGCTAACCAAAATGCTCTCCGTCAAACAAAAAAAAATCTGGAACCAGATTATCCAAACTCGAAATAATCATATCTTTAGACTTGGTGAAGCAGCATGTGGCTCCTCATCCAAGATTGTTTTTGAACGCTCTGTTCCAATCAACTGCAAATAATTCGTCATGCCCACAAGGTTTCTCCCGTGTAAGAAAAATACGTTGGCTGGTTTGCCAGAAAAGCTTTCTGCTCGGAAGTGTTTTCATAAGGCACAGCAGACTGCATTTACGCCGATGGACGGGCGTCAACCCTTCAATTACACCACCAGACCGTTGCAGAAGCAAATACTAAAATCCTTGAAGGAGCAAAAAAAAAAAAAATTAAGTGAAAAGGTCTGCTTTCAACAATGAACTCAACAGATGACATTCAGCGTGGCACGTGACTAATGTGAACACAGTTAGTGGTCGTCTATCAGCGTGCACGCTTGAAGTGGGTTGGGTGGAAACACGGGGGTGGAGGGAGGAGAGGGGTGCTCTAGCGTGTTAAATCTGGGGCCCGTGCAACTATGGCTACGCCTTTTTTTTTTTTTTTTTAAAGTCGCCCTACCTCGTATTGGTCGGGTCGCGTCCACGAAGCCTGGAGAGGACAAACACACAAAAACAACAACACTGTGGAGCTTTTGTGAGAGTCACACGAGAGGGATGGACAGACAGAGCAATGATTTTGAGGAACCAAATATGGGAGTAGTTTTTTTTTCTCGCATTTCTGAACACTTTTTAACAAAGCAATTAAAAAAAATGTAAAGAAAGAACTTAGTCATGTAATGTGGAAAAATGGCACCACATGATTATTTATAGCCAGCAAAATGATCACGCTTGCCGCTATTATCCCAATATTGCAAAATTAAACATATTGCAAAATATGAACAAAAAAGTGGAGATGAACAAAATCAGAAGCACTGATTCACTTCAACAATTAAAGTAAAAAAGTGTGTCACATAATAAATGAAATCGATATTTGTTTGAAAAATACTTCCTGGATGCCAAATGGGAGAAGCCCCAAAAAATGACCATGACTCCCAGAGACACTTCGAACCGTCGTAACGATAATTACAATTTCTACACTAGTGGCAGTGTAATGTACCTCGAACCGTTGCGAATTATATATATATATATATAATGAAAAATATTTATACCACTGAGTGAGTCAAACTGCTTTACTATAGCGCCAACTACTGCCGAGGATGACTTACTCAATGACAGATTTTTTTTGTGTGCCTTAAGTATTGGTGGTTGATATCAGCAGCGACTATGAGAACCCGATAACTTAAAATAAATATCCACCCAAGACTGATACCTGGCAGTGGTATTCGCACATCCCTCTCCGGTAGTATCACCGATTACATTTTTTTGCATAATTTATTGGAATCAAAAGACACAAATTAAATCATCACCCCCTTCAAAAAAAAAAAAAAAAACGTGTTTGGAAATAGACTTAAATAAACAAGAAGCTTTCACCATCATACATACAATCAATAAAAGCATATCATACCATCAAAAAAAAAAAAAAAAAAAAAAAAAACGCCCAAAAAACTTGCTGTGCTGAAAACGATTCTCCTTTCAACGCAGATTATACTGTGGCGTGCTCTTACACCAAAAACGTGTGTCTGCGGGGAAAAAAACGTTGCTTAAATTAGTTCCTGACAGACGCCCCCCCCGTCGACTTCCTGTATCACTGCGAGCGTGGCCTGCAGATTTCCAGCACTCACGCTCATTTAGAGTTGGCTGCGTGCATAGCGGAAAAAAAGAAATCGCACCTGTCAAGTGTCGGTCTCAAACACTGAAAGAAATTTCACATGCTGACTTTTGGCGGCGGGGTTGACATTTAAGAAGCAAGACTGACCAACCGTCTCTCTGACCCCCTGGCAAGCCATCCTTGTCACTGGAGATTTAATTACCTCAGTCGGCATGCACTCTTCAGATGAGATGTGGTTCAAGTTTCTCCTCAAAGTCCAGCCCGCCTCGTTATTTTACGAGAAGTCAAAATGGTATGAGAAAAAGGTTCTATTATGGCAATCCAGGTCTATAAATGTTTCAAAAGATTTTTATTGACCCCCCCGTCCCCCACTCGCCCTCACCCGGTCACTTGATGATGGTAGACAAAACCCACACAGCTTCATTTTCGCAACATTATGAGTTTTTTTCATGGGATAATAACAGACACTTGTTTTTTTGGCAACGGATGATTTATTTACTTGGGTTGGCATGCACTCATCCTCTGAGTTTTGATTTTGTTTCTCTTTTGGCAGATAATGTTACCATGTCAATCATGAATAAACTGGCACTAAGGCTCCTCTAGTTTTAGCACTGTATTCTTACCACTGCAATAACTTTGACTCAAGATTTTAATCCTCATCAAGGGCTGTTTTTTGTTTTGTTTTTTTTTTCAATGTCAATTTCTTCAAATTTTATCTTCTAAAAGGAGCGATTAAAAAGCAGTAAAGTCTTACTTGTACTCTTTATGAGGTTAAACTGCTCGGAAATTATCGTGTAAGAGCAGAATTTCATTAAGCAAATGACGCAAGTGGCAGCGGTTCCGGTTTTAATCAGCCAATACAGCGTTTAACATCGCTCACTGTGATGCCGTGCAGTCGTACGGCCTCAATAATGAATGTGTAGTCTGTCTATCATTTAAGGAGGCGGAGATGGATTTTTTTTCTCATCTTTGGTTAAATGTTTTTTTAAATGCATGTATAGAATTGTTCCAGCATCCGCTACAAGCCTAGAAGTCAATATGACACTGACAAAAAAATACGTTTTTGCATTTCGAAAACCTTTCTGTCACCTTTGAGCCTTGGTGGAGCGGATGCTACTTTATTGCCTGAGAGAGGAGTTGATATTATAATTCTAACATGCAACGCTTTAGCCCTTTGTTTGTTGGTTGGGTAATAGTGAGCTAGTTAGCCAAGTTACAACACTGCTAATCTGATTTCCCCAAAACATTTAAATTGTAAATGTCGGAATTCAGTAACTCAATACATAATGCGGTTGTTAAACCCATTCATTACGTCATCCTCAAAAAAACAGGAAGTGGTCTGCTAGCTAGGCAATAATCTTAATTTGTGTCCATCTTTTATCATTGTTGATGCTAGCACTTTGGCTAGTTAGCTAGTCGCACAAACGCTTAACTCCGCTACTGTTTGAGGAACCGTTTGCATTGCAGGGGCAGATAACAGTTTAAATCCATCATCATTTGTTGCCGCTTTTTACTGGTACCTAATGAACGGCGAGTGTAGAACAACAACATCTCTCTACTCTGATGGCAACGTTAGCACTGATGCCCGTGATCGATACAACATGTTTCACATGAGGGTGAAGCGTTACGGTATTGGTTTCGTGTCCGCAAATTATTCGAAAGTATCATTTTTGACAACAGGCTGCTAACTTACATTTTTGAGCACACGTACTATAATATTCACATTCCACATCCCACCTTGCTCTCCAACCTTACCTGCTCCCCTTCGGAGAACATCCTGTTTTGGAAGCTCCACGAGATGGAGGGCGTCGGGTCACCCGAGGCCTCGCAGGTCAGCGTAACTTCATCGTCAAACTCTGTCGCCGTTTGGTTGTTCATGTAGGTAATCTTAGCTTGCACTGGGTGGAAAATAAAAATAAATCCATCAATAATTCTTTTCCTGTCTTCTTTGAATCCCATGCTCATTGATAATCAGCTCGTGGACAAATGTTTCATTAATGAGGGCTGTTTTTCTGCAGCTTCCGTGGGCACAAATGAACCGGGGAGCCGCGCCGAGGACATTCCCGCTAAAAGATAAACAATGGACACCTGAAGGCTCGGGAAGCTGCTGATGGGATCACACACCGGCAGGAGTGCACATTGTTTAAAAAAAAAAAGGTTTTAAAAAAAAAGGCACAATAAATGGGTTTTTAAAAGAAAGATTTTTAAAGCTTACATGGAAAAAGGGGAGGGTGTGTGTGTGTGTGTGTGTGTGTGTGTGTGTGTGTCTAAATTCCTCCTTTTCCACAGGTGCACAAAAGTGAACTCATTTTTTTTTTTCCCTTACCAAACACATTGAGACTGACTTCCTGGCTCATCTCGCCTGCCTTGTTCCTGGCGATGCAGGTGTAATCTCCTTCATCCACTTTGATGACATCTTTTATCACCAGCTCGGAGCCGTCGTCATTCAGACTGTACTTATCGCCTGACTCGAGGATGACGTTGTTGCTGTCAACCGGAGGGTGGGGGGAAAAAAAGTGAGAAAATAAGAGATGAATAAGAAAGGCAAACCCGACATCCTGTCGCGGAGGAACGTGGAGAATGGATCTCTTGGTTTCGGCGTAAATTCAATTTTTTGGAAGGCTGATTTTGACATGCTGGGAAAAGACAACATCAAGACTGCGGCTCACTCACTTGTCCCCACATTACTATTTGTACTTAATTCATGGCAAAAAAACAAACAAAAAAAAAGAGACCGTTTGACAGGAAAAGCTATTTTTTTTCCAATTAAAATACAGTTACAGTACTTTATCGACTTAAGTGCTTGAGTAAGCTGCTAGCAGTGTTGGTCGTGCGTGTTCAAAAAAATGTTGCCAAAGCTAGAAGAAGAAATGTATAGATTTTTTTTTTTCCTAGACATGGCAAAATGCGTCTTGTCTGTGAGGCAGTGAAGGAGTCTGAGTGTAATTTGTGTTCGGATGAGTGAGTTGTGGGGCGAGGTGACTGGAGGGAGCAAGAGAAAGAAGTGTGCTCGTGTGTGTCTGCGAGATGAAGGCTTGAGCGGAACACGAGCCGGATGTTTTGTTGTTGGCATCGTTACGGCAGACAACCGCCGTTCATTTTCACGATGAATACAATCGCCCAATGCTTGTTTTCATTGAATCCTCGAAGCAGATGATACAGTATACACGCAGTCCGTGCATACATCGCTGCTAGCGTTAGCTGTAGCCTTTTTAGAAGTGCGGTCATAGCTCTTGCGCTCGTGTTATAGTTTTATGTTGTATTGCAAGTGACCTTGAAACAAAACTAATGGAAATAACTAAAACTTGTGGAGGGGGAATAAAATGAAATTTCAACCTAAAACAAAAAAACAAACAAACTGAATTTAAAACTATAATGCAAATTCCCAAACTATTATCACTGCTGTAATTTTTCGTTAAATATCCCCACTCGCCCGAGGCACCTCCGCTAGCTTGCTAGCTAATACCAAAACATGTGATTGGCGATGCATCGACCTAAAACTACAATTCGCCACCTCATTTTGGGCAACATGCGGTAAGACGCCATCGTCAGACACCACCAGCCCTGCTCGTACGTGTTTACCTGTGTCTGCTATTGAAGAAAAAAAAAGTGTTTGGATGCTTTCATGACAGCCTTGCCAACAGCCTTCGGAAAAAAAAATGGCTTGGCCCTCAGTTTTCCGCTCACGTACCTCGCCTTCCCAACTCAACCCCTCCTGTGGCCGAGACATCTTCATCATCATCATCATCCCCGACACATCAGGTGGAAAACAGGGTGAGCGAGAGCACATCCATCAACTCGCGCTCCCGAAAAAAGAGGAGCCTTATTTTGTGCTCTGGAGTGAGCTGTGTTGTTAGAACACACCATATTTCTTCAAATAGTCGAGGGAAGACGAAGACAAAAAAAAAAAAAAAAAAAAACTTTCACAAATAGATGAATCCCGATTGTTCAGACATGAAATGGTTAACTTCTGAGGCTTGTTGAACTCTATTACGAGCACGGTGTGACATTTTCTGATACCATAAACCGGTTCATTGTGTGCCGTTTTGCAACCTCGAAGCTCCACGGGCGTCAGAAATCAATTGTTCCGAACTTTGTCAACAGAGCAGCATCTCCTTCCTTAGCTCAATTAACGTGCTTCAAGGTCATACGTACTAGGCCCATGTGACGGCGGGTTCGGGGAAACCGTCGGCATCGCACGCCAGGAGGATGGAGACGCCCATGTCAGCGGTGGCGTTGACCTCGGACTGCCTGGCGCGGATGGTGGGAAGGACTAAAAACACACACACAAAAAAAAAAAAAATCAACTCATCAACGGCAGGAGTCGGATTCCCAAGCGTGACGGGCGGTCGGAAAAGTCTCACCGTTAACGACGACGTTGATCATTTTGAAGTTGATCTCGCCGGTCTCCATGACGCGCGCCTCGCAGTTGTACGCGCCCTCGTCCGTCTTCTTGATGCCGCGAATCAGCAGGTGGCCGTTATCCATCACGTTGTATCGCACTGAAACAGCAAGGAAGACGACAATGCCATTGAGAGTTCCTGTGTGAATGAGCAACATTGGTAACTACAAAAATCGTTTTTTTTTTGTTGTTGTTGTTGTTTCAGTAACAGTTCATACACAAGTATGGTGATTTTTTTTTTTTGGAGCCAAACTGATCAGGAGGGGGGGAAAAAAACGGCGTAAAGGAAAGCACAGTATATCATCATTGCCCCCGCCACACAAAAAAATAAAATCCGGAAATTTAGTGATCAAAAAGTGTATTCAGTTTGAAATTCCTCAAAGCAAATGGAATGGAATGGCAATGCAAGATGACAGGTGGTCTACGACATGTGTTAATGGCATCCATCTTTCAATTTCCACTGAATTGCTATAATTTCCCATATGAATGAAAATATTGATACATTTCATTGAGAAAAAGAAAAAGGAACCCGGGGAGAAAGGCTCCAATGTATTTTATTGGATAGTAATATTCCTCATGAGTTTCCGGTGTGAGCCACCAAGAAAAAAAAAAGGGCAATCAAATTTTCACCTTCAGGCGAAATAAACGCCTTTTGGTCTTGGTAAAGGCAAAAAGTCATGCGGGGAACGACATTCCAACATTAATTACTCCTCCAAAGCAGAAAAAGAAGCATTTTAAACGCTTCAACGGGAGGCGGTCGAGGCCAAATTGAAACGGCTCAATTATGCTGGCTAATCGAGGAAGCGCTTTTGAAAAAAAGGGGAGCTGTGAGCTGCAAGCGTCTCGCCGACACGCGCGGCTTGACAACCTGTTGCCGCTTCTGATTAAAGCGGCCATTAACGCAACGTAATGGACTGAGCTGCACTAAGTGAAACCAGGCGGCCTTTCTCGCACGTCACCCAGCCCGACTGACTCGCCGGGCCTCGCGGCGCGGCGGTCCCTTTTTTTGCATTTTGGACAAATTCCACAAGCAAAGCAGTGCCAGTTCAAATGAGCATTTTTTTTTTCCTGCGATGAAGCCAGTTGGAAGAAGTTGAGCTCTAGAATTGGGTCAGGCGGGGACGATTTAGTCAGCAGTTTCATCTTTGGATCCGATACCAGCCACCGATACTTAAAAATCCGACATTGAGTAAGTCTTCCTTGACAGTAATTAGTGCTACACTCGGGCCGTTGAATCACCGGAATCAAGTTCTAATAGTGGTATCAGGTACTGGAAAAAAAAATAAAATGACATCTCTAGTCTGACTCATTTTTCAAACACTCAACCAACTCCAATATGTTCTGCGGTTGGCGTTGGCACGTATCATAAACCAAATCCTTCCATCCTTCCATTTGTCAGTCGAAAGGCTGAGACAGCCCCGCTTTTAGGGACCCGGCGCGTTTCCTTTTGAATCTTCCTTCACCCGGGCCAGAAACATGTTATCTTTTTATGAACAGCGTCTTCCAAGGCCGATAAGCGTGTCTTGTTCCAACACGGGGGCAGCGGATTGATGACTCGCAGCGGGCCCGTTACACGCCCGACGTCAAACGTTTCGCATCCTGACAGTAAATCGTTGCGAATCGCGTAAGTGCTCCTTATGCGCATGGACGTCGCCGTCGCTTCCCTGAGATGCACAACCTGCACCCAGCCGAGCCCGACTTGCGGGAAATCGACAACTGTCTGCCGCAGCGCGGAAGACCGCTCTCATTTCCAGCTGGTGTTGAGGCTTTTCTCTGTATTTTTGTATTTTTTGCATCCTCTTTTGTTTCTTTCCTGCTGTGTTTTCGACTCACCGACACAATGGAATGTGACGGCGCGCAAATCCGACTTGACTTTTCAGAACTTCCGCTCGATTGCTAGAAATCACCTTTAATAAAGGCACCGCAACCGTAGGTAGACCCGCTCAAGCCGCGACTTATCAAACCGACTGCATGCGCTCGGCTTTTCTTTTACAATACTTTGTATTTTTGCTTCCGCTCAGGTTGACGGGCGACCCGCATATTCCCTCAGGCATCTTTTCTTTTTCTGACACTAGAAAAAGTTTCAATAGAAAGAAGACGTCTGTCTCCTTGTTCCAACAGCTTTAAAGGCGTTTCATTGATTTTAAATGTCAAGCTTTGGAGTTCTGCTGTCGTTTTGTTCCACGCAGAAGGAGTGGAGCGCATTATGATTCAGACGCTCATAAGGTAAGAGGTACTAATTAAATCAAAGCTCGGACTTGCACCCAAAATCTCCGTTGGCTATTCATTGACCGTTTAAGCAGCGAGTCCCGATAAACTTGAACGGGTTGCGAAATGGACTTTTGACGACAAACAAACAGCGACGCAGCCGCCTCAACCGATGGAAAGGTTTTCCTTTTTAGTTTAAAATAACTTACTTTCAAGGCCAAGCCAACCCTCCAAAAATGTCTTCTCAGTAAGTTGTCTAAACACGGCATTCTGATTAATATTGCAATATGAATGAATCCAAATCCACCCGTTTTTAGCTAGCTGAGGAGGCGGCCATTTTGCCAATTGTTGTCGACGAAAAATGACATCACAGCTATCAGCAATCATGACTCAGGGTCAGAAAACAGGTCAGCCGTGATCGGTCGCTACCTTAAGAAGAACATTTGGGTGTTGACTTCCCCTTTAATTTCCCAATCCCTCGCCATAAGCTAGCCAATTTTTGTTCAAAGTTTTAAATCCATCCATGTTCTGAGACATATTCATTGGGATCATCTCACCGTCTTTGTTGGACTGGATCCTGACACCTTTATGCTTCCAAAGGATGAAGGGGACCGGCGACCCGACCACATCGCAGATAATGTCGGCATCATCGCCCTCGTTGAACTCTTGCGGACTGGGAACATTCTTAAAGGTGATCTTTTCTGAAAGGAAAAAAAAAAATACCAAGTGTCAAGGCAGGATCGGGTTGGTCCTACACAAAATCGGAAGTCGGCTCCACTTACGAAAGATCTTGACTTGCACCGTGGCTTGGGCCTCCTTGTCGCCGCTCCTCGCCACGCACTTGTAGATGCCGGCGTCGTCCACGTCGGCGTGGTAGATGGTGAGGGTGGAGGTGGTTTCGTCGTTGCGGTTCACTTGGACGTTGGGGTTGTTTGGCAGAATCTTTTCGCCGTTGGGGGCGAACCAGTCGATGTCTTTGGCGTCTCCCACCACTGAAGTAAAGGCGCAACGTTTATTTCATGCATCTGTGCTCCATTCGTAAAAAACAAGTCGATTTCTGTTTAGCCGGCTAGATTAGATCCGAAGATTTTTTTGAGGAAAAGGGATGGGCGAAGAAAAGCTGACTTTCCCGATGCGTAGTGTCAAAGTGGCGAGTGTCTTGGGTGTCAAACTTTACAGACGCTGGTGGGGTTGTGCCACAACCCGCCAACCTGGATTCGTCCGTCGGAGAAAGAACTGAAAATGCCGGCTTTGGTCGCGTGAACGATTGGGCTGACGTTGTCGTGGATATGTTGCGAAAAGATGCAATCGTGAAGAAACGGGGGCTCTCTACTGTTACGCTTCTGCGTGAAAGCCGCAAATGAAAGGTTTTCGGGCATGGAATGCTCTGGCTGCATTTTAAGGGCTTTGGAAAACTGGAGCGAAAATCGTTTTTCTTCTTGAAACAAAAGGTCGGAGGCGGGGGAATAGAACATATTTCACGGGAGCCAACAGCAACAGTTGAGGTCAAATTATAAGATTCTCATTTGGGGAAAAAAGTCCTCGCAGTAGAGAAAAAAAAAAACCCACGTTGCATTGGAATGCCTCACGTGCGGCTCAGGTGGGTTCTCTCCGGTGTGAAATGCCTGACTGGTAACCAGGCACTCGGAACCAAAGAGTTTTTGGCAGCATGTTGCGGATGACTGGGTATATTTAAACAATTGCAGTTGGAAAAATATGAAGCGGAACCCCAAGTCAACTGACTTTTTGGACCCAAGCACGGTCCAGTCTGTACTTTTCGATGACTCCGTTTAGTCGACTTTAACCGGATTACTTTTTCTGTACTTCTAGATCCCGGTGCTAGCTTACCTTCGCAGAGGAAAAACTTGGACTCGCCCACGCTGATCTCCCTGTGTGTCGGAGTGACCTGCACCTGGATGGCAGCTGTTGAGGGGGTAGCGGGGTGGGGGGAGGGTAGTGGGATGGACAAAATGTACACGCAGTTAGTAAAAAAAAAAAGGAAGACACAGGCGGATGAACAGATCTGGAAGAGGATCAGAGTAATGGTCCTGTTTTCCCCAATCATCGCCACTGCTGCGTTTCCATGTTTTGGTGCCTGTTTGACTTTGTCCCTGATACCTGTCGCTTTCCCTTTTTCTCTGATGGAACGCAAATGGCCAAATCCAAAGTTTCCAATCAAACTCCGAATTAGTCTGCACCAACAATTGCGCAACAAATGGATGTGCAGCAAAGGGATGATCGTTTTTACCATGGCAAATCGTTTTTCCCGATTGACATTTCCGCTTTCGAACTGCTTGCTGTTACTCATCAGAGTAGCTTACAAACCCGAATTTCCCAGACACGCTGGGCAAGTCCGTCTTCCGAGCCAACGCATCAAAAAACATACTTGACGATTAAAATTGGTCATTGGCAGTAAACGGTGACAATTTGACGGTGGCAATGAATAATTCAGGGACAATCTTGCGTCACGATACGGATGTTGCTTTGCTCTTAGCATTCATTTTAGCTTTAGCATTCCCAGACCGCTTGCGTTTTAAATGTCTCTCAACTTCACCCGACACTTGGAATGACTCGGAAAACGTCAATGCGACGGACCGAGACGAACGTACCTTGTTGCACCCGAAAACACACCGCAATATGATTCCTCTGAGATACGAGTTACATTATGTTGTTATAGTTAGCAAGAGCATTTCCGAGGCCGTTTTTAGCACAGGGACACTGAATGTCCCTAAATGTCCCAATTTAGCACATCGTCTGAAATCATTAGTGGTTCGCGTTGCTTCTATCAGTTAAACGGCATTAAAAGTGCCTCATAAAATGGAACTTGGTGGGTGGAAACTTACGCACGGCATACTAAGTAGCATAGTCGTATAGGAATTTACTATCAAAGAGCATTCATGATGTGATCCCTTATTTAGTTGACTGGTATCCAAGTGTGGCTCGCATTAGTCCCTCGGAGTAGTTTGTTTGGCCGAGTGCGACCACGGCGACCAGACCGCGCCGCAGACATAAACAAGTGGGGCCGGGACCTCGCCAAGGAAGTGGTCTCGGTCCACTTGAAAAGTCTATCATGTTGCTCGCTTGCACAGACATGAACGCCACCTCGACCCGAGCAAATATAAGAGCTTCTTGCTGTGTTTGAGCTCAGCGGCTCCTGAAACCAGGCGTGCATTGCATTCTGGGATGTGGTCCACTGCAACCCCTATACCACAATCGTGAAGTAAATAAAACATGGGCAGATAAGAGACTGGACTGGTATCGGGGTATTTGTAGAGTAGCCGTTTATACACTCAAATTCAGTGTATATGAGGCGTCTTTTCGGGGGCACTGCATTTATTTTTCCACCAATAAAATCATTGAAATACAGAGCCTGAGATCGGACTGGCCGACACTTTAATTGGGACTCTGTAGGGTTTTTTTTTTTTTGCATCAAAGCTCGCCTCACAGTTTAAATGAGCTGAAGTCATGTGCTTGTACTTGCAACGTTTCTCAAGTGTCGTCCTTTTCCTTTTGTTTTATTAAACGTTGACATATAAAATATTGTTTAATATTGTTCTAAAGGTAAAAGGCTGATGTATTTAAAAAAAAAAAAAGCCTCGGGTTGACACATATAGAATATTGTTCAATATTACAATGTTCCTGGCAATGGAAAAATGGAAGTCATTTATGAGACAAGAGACCGGACAAGCACTTGGAGAATAATGAGAAATACAACGTAATAAAAACTTGCACGCGAGGAGACAGTTCAAATGCAACCCGGCTGCTGTTTATCGAATGCCGCGAGAACGGTTCAACATCACCATAAGCACACCACACAACAATACAGACCGTATTTCGTCGACAGTTTATGTTTGTCACGTAACATTATGTTCACACACACACAAATAGACGCACCACAACCAACCACAGGTGAATAATAAACACTTCTGACGACATGCACAGTAATTACAGCTCCCATTCTGTGAACTGAGTAAGACGTTTGTTTCGCGTCGAAGACGCAAACGTCAATTGAGACGAGGGGTCAACTGGAATCGGTACCGCTGTTGGGGGAGTAAACACCGCATCCTCTAATTTCTGTCTGCCGGAGGCCAGCGTGGGTTATCTCCATTTTCACTTTTATGACATCTTGCGGTCAAGCACGCGCTGGCAACGCGCCTCGTCTTCGCCGTGCCAACAACACAAACCAGAGGCGACAGCGCCGCGCTGGCCCGATGCGCTCATCAAAAGCTTTCAGCTGTTCATGAAACACGCACCTGCGACCTTGCCGGAGCAAAACCTTGCGACTGCGAAGAAAAAGAAGAAGAAGGAGCGCAGCGTCTGTCTTGGGAGTATTTTTAGCCGTGCACTCTAAAGATTGATTTTTCTCTTGGTGTCAATAAAAGGCAGCTGACTCAAGTCATTCCAGGATGCTCTTCTCTTTCAGCGGATTATCCGTACAGTGGGCGACGCTAAGTCGAAGAGTTTTCTTTAACGGGTCTCTGTTAAAGGAAATGCTTTATTGCGCTTCTTTTCACAGCTACAAAAGTGAAGAAAAAGGGACGGTTTATGAATTTTAGCCCAACGGTCTTCGCGCAGTAGGCGGGGCACACCCCGAACCGGTTGCCAGGCAATCGCAGGGCACACAGAGGCGAACAACCATCTGCGCTCACACTCACACCTAAGGACAATTTTAAGTGTTCCATTAACCTGCCATGCATGTTTTTTGGAATGTGGGAGGAAACCGAAGTACCCGGAGAAAACCCACGCATGCACGGGAAGAACATGCAAACTCCACACGGGCAGGCCAGAGCTGTAATCGAACCCTGCACCTCGGAACTGTGAGGCCGACGTGCTAACCAATCTACCGCCGTGCCGCTCTGTCTTGGTGTTGATATTTTTTCCACGGCAATATCACGGAGGCTTTATCAAGTCACCTCTACTGAGTGCGTGATGTGTGTGCATTGCACAGTGAATCGTGACCCCAAGTCGGATATCCGAAATCCCGCAGAGCTCGTGTGACGTCGGCACGTCACACAAGCAGGTGGGAGCCTGTTCCGTCTCCCACCGGGAGACTCGTGGGAACGCTTCTGAACAACTCCGCCGACGATCCCAGCACAGCGAGAAGCGGATATTTCTCGAGAGAGATCATGCTCCTGTTATGAGCTGCTTTTATAATGGGAGAGCAAAAAAACCGACAGCTCGCGGGCTGCGGATGTCCCGTGACAGCATTTGATTGGGCCCACTAGGCAATTCGACAAAAATAAGGAAACGAAGCTTCAGATCATCGCAACTGTTGTGTGCGATGTCGCCTTCACTCGCTTCCTTCGCTCCCTGTTAACGTGGATGCAGCATGGGGAAAAAAAAAAAAAACCCTTGCTCAACCCTGGCGCACCGTTTGCTTTTCCAGGTTGGAGGTAGATACAAAGAAAACATCGTATCCATTTCGAACCCTCGCGTAGATACCGTGAACCCCCTCCAAGACAATCCCACTGATTACATCTGCGCTGCTAAAGACAACAAAAACAAGTGTGGGGCGCTGTGAGAAGAATTGCTTTTCCCTGAGCCATTTTCTCACTCCGCGTCCTCAAAATAGCCACTTGCTCTCCGTCTCAGAGGATCCAAAGGGGCCGCCGAGGCTCGTGTGTCAAACACGTGTGAGACTTTTTCGAAAAAAAAAAAAAAAGGCCAAGAAAGACAAAAGATGATCGCCCGCGGCGCTTTCCCTCCCACAGGTACCGTTAACTCACTTCCATCACCTCGCACGACCCCAGAAAAGTAAAACAACGCGCTGTTTAACTTCTTCAATTGTTCTCCCTGAGATACAAAAGAAACAGTTATTTAGAGTTATGCGAAGAATTGCATGATTAGTGATCACCGCAATGGTAACCCAAAAATGTTTTTAAATGGCACATTTCCAATTCAAAGAATCATTCACAAAGAGATACAAAGTTGCGATCTACGATTACAAATACTCAAATTTTTGAATTTGATACGAACACATTCAGTGACTCACAGATTAGCCGTCAGCGTTTTCGAGTCAAGTTTCCCTGGAGATTTTGCGTCACGGCATATTAAAACCGGTGAGCAAAGAGTGGCGGCTCGTCTCCTTTGGAGAGGATTATGGGCTACACCAATCAGGCTCGGAGGCACTTTTCAGAGCATAAATATTTATAGAGGACCTCATTAATTTAACAGCGGTGCGTGAAGCAAACAGGAAGTGGTCACAAGCAGCCGAACGACCGGTGCAAACTTTTGTCACTATCGCGGATCGGGAGGTTTTGAACGCTTAATTGGGGTCTGGCATTCGGTGCAGACTGGCACCGACACAAGGAGGCTACAAGTCACCTAGCGGTGCTTAGCATGCAAGGGGTGCGAGAGAGAGCAAACACTCCGCGCGGGGCAAGTGCAGACATCATTGTGGATGCGCCAGACTGCGACGCTTGCACTCAGTTCACGTACGGGTGGAACACAACTGCCTGTGGATGTACAGCTGGCTGGGATAAAAAAAAAAAAAAAAAAAATGTTTTTTTGGGTTTGAGTTTGTTTTCTACAGTGCTACCACTTTGAATTAGCCAAAACGAATTGCCCCAAGACTCCATTAAAAAGTGAGTCTGCCGCCTGGAAAACCAATGGACCGTATTTTTATAAGGCACAGCGAAAAGCATTCAATTTTCTCACAAGCCGACAATGCACCTTATAATTCGATGCGCCATATATATGGATCAATATTCAGATTTATCTAGTAAATGTTCTGTAAAGCGCTTTGTTACAACTGCACAGCTGGTGAAAGCTCGATATAAATAAAACGATTGTATTACATTGCATTCCCTTTAGCGTAGCTCCATCTAGTGGATGCACAATGCAACCGCAGCCACTATGGTAGCTTCTATTCTACGCGCCTTATAATGCGATGCGTCGGACACATGAAAACAGTGAAGGTGCAA